CCTCGGCCCTTAAAGGGGAAAGGTTGCCTACCCCTGGCCTAGATTATGGTGCCTTATGAGCCTTAAATCCCATTGACATTGCAACAAGATCACCTATGGGGCTCTAGGGTTGAGCGGGGAATTCAGTCTCTATTCTCTCAGAGTCCTAGTCCAGCGCTCCAAATACTACACCATGCTCAGCTCTCTATCCTAGGGTTTTCTTGACAAGGTTTATCCAGAGGTTTGTCATTGCATCCTCTGAAGCGGAAGGAGTCTGACTTGTACAAGGTCATGGGATGGGCTTCCATGGTTAAGCAGGGATTTGAACCTTGGTCTCCTGGTGTCCTAGTTCAACACTCAAACCACTACACCATGTGAACACTTCCTTGGGGATAAATCTCGCTATTTCAGAAGGACGTGCTTCTCTATCAGCTAGCACAAGAGATGGGTTGCAAAACAGATTTATTGTTATGCGTCTTCAAGTCAACTCTGACTTACAGTAACCCTATCCTGGAGTTTTCCTGGCAAGATTTCTTCAGTGGAGGTGTGCCATTGTCTTCCTCTGAGGTTAAGAGAGTGTGACTTGCCTGGAGGTTTCCATGGCTGAGCTGGGATTCAAACTGTGGTCTTCCAGAGTCATGGTCCCACCACACTGACCCTCTGGCAACCTCTTCTTTCCTCCTAAAATGGATGAGGGAATTATCATTATTATTGTTGTGGTTGTGGTTTCTTACCCACCTCTCCCTATGGATCAAGGCAGGGAACAACAACAAATTAACAAATGCACAACATCAGTTAAAAATACACATCAGTTTAAAAGGACAAACAAGTGTGGTGGTTGTGTGCCTTCAAGTTGTTTCCGACTTATGACGACCCTAAGATGAACCTATCACAGGGTTTTCTTTAGAGTGGGTTTGCCGTTGCCCTCCTCTGAGGCTGAGAGAGTGTGACTTGTCCAAGGTCACCCAGTGGGTTTCCATGGCCAAGCTAGGAATCGAACCCAGGTCTCCAGAGTCCTAGTTCAACACACAAAGCACTGTGCCACGCTGGCTGTCTACAAACAAGACACATGCATATTAAAACAAGCTACATTTAAAATTAATCATTTAAAAAGAAGAAACAGAAAACAGTTCCCGAATTGAGCCAGACTTTGTAGTTCATCAGTTCTGCAGCTAATAAATTTACTCACTCACATGGTGAGACAAATGAAATTTTCAGCCAGGGATATGGGTTTCAGTTGTGTAATGCAAATCATATCTAGGTCAAATATGGAGAAGCAATGGCACACACTTCCTGAAAAATCTTTTAGGGAAACTAAGTTGTTCCTTGTGTTGTTTTTAGGGAAACTAAGCTGTTCCTTGTGTTGTTGAATTATGCTCCAGCTCCGTCATGAAATGTTCCGCCAAAGAATCTGGGTTTACCGCAAGGAAATCATGTTTGACCTTCATGAAACATCAACGAGTCAGTGATGATGGGGAAATTCACAGCTTTTCCCAAACATTTCCAGAATGAATGTCAGTAACATAGTTTAATAAGGAGGAAATAAAAAAGTCTTCCTTATTGCATGACTTGCATCACTAGGCAGCACCGTTAGGAACCTGGCAAGGCCCAGTTTGGGGCTGGGGCCCATCCCTGATACCTGCTTCGGCTCCCACCTTGCATCATTTTTATTGCACTCCTGTGATCCTTAGGTAGAAACTAGTTGGGTCTAGAAGCTGCTATATCAATTTCTCACAAGGATCTTATAGGGCTGGCACCCATTAAGCATAGTGAGACACTCGACTCGGGTGTCAGTTTGCCACTCCTAAAACAACCTCTGCCACTCCAGTGTCACCATTACTTTCCACTGCTCTCCAGAAGAGACTAGTTTTCAAATGAAGCATAAGCTGATCTATCTGATAGCCCATCCACAATGCCAAGAACAGAAGGTTCCTCAAAGCCTGGCCTTTGGATAATAACTACTGTACTTGCTAAGCTCAGCTTCCTGATCGCCCGCCTTGTAGATCATGAATGTTGATTTAGGATCATGGGCTCTTCCATTCATCTGGCAACACAGTGATCATGGGCTCTTCTCCAGGTAAAGGATTAATGATATGATTTCATAAACTCACAGAGTTGGAAGAGACCCCAAGGGCCACCCACATTCTGCCACGCAGGAACTCACAATTGAAGCACTCCCTGTGACGTCCAGTTCTGGGCAACACAATTCAAGAAGGAGGTTGACAAGGTGGAGTGTGTCCAGAGAAGGGCAACTGAAATGGTGAACAGTCTGGAAACCGCCAAGCCCTGGGAGGAGTGGTTTAGGGAGCTGGGTATATTTATAGCCTGGAGAAGAAACGGTAAAGAAGTGATATGATAGCCCTGTTTCAATATTTGAAGGGATGCTGAGGATGGAGCAAGCTTGTTTTCTGCTGCTCCAGAGATCAGGACAAGGAGCATTGGATTCAAATGATAGGAATAGAGATTCCACCTAAATATTAGGAAGAAATTCCTGACAATAAGAGCTGTTTGACAATGGAAGATGCTGTCTCGGAGTGTGCTGGAAACAGCCCTAAGGTGGCCCTATCATGGGGTTTTCTTGGCCAGATTTGTTCATTGGCTTCCTCTGAGTCTGAGAGAGTGCGACTTGCCCAAGGTCACCCGCTGAGTTTCACAGCCAAGCTGGGAATTGAACCCTGGTCTCCAGAGTCATAGTCCAACACTCAAACCACTATGCCACCCTGGCTCTCATGTACAAGATACATTTTGCTAATGTATAGTTCCTTGCTCAGAATAGGCATTTTCCTTCTAAGATCTCCTCCTTTCCTTTCTCTCTCTCTTCACGTGCCTTGCCTAGTTTGCACACGTCTGTGTGCACAGGATCTGGTGGCAACTGAATTTGGGGCTCTGCTCTCTTTTTCTGAACCCAGCTTGGACATTTGGCATTTCTTTTTCCATACACACCTAAATCCTTGCTTGAGGATCACTTTGCTTTCATGGAAGATCAGAGCAATAGTCTGAGGATTACTAAAATCCCTGGTGTCCTCTTTCTTGGGGACTAGAATCTATATTGAACATTTCCAGTCTGTGAACCATTGTTTTGTTTTCCATATTTGTTGACAGACTTTTGTTAGAATTTGGGTGGAATCTATTTCTATAGCATGAACCAGTTATTCTGGTACATCACCCTGTTTCTGGTGACATATTTCTCCCAAGGCTTTCAGAGCAACTTCTACCTCACTTTTCTAAAATGTTGGGTTCATCATCAGAAAGTCCTTCCGTGAAAGGCTGTGTCATAATTTCTTGTTTTTTCATAGTTTTACATAGTGTATTACTTCCATTGAGTTTTTAATTTATTTTGCCTATTTAGTGTGTTCCCCTATTGGTTGTATAGCATCCCCGCTCATGGTTTAAACTTCCTTTTGATTTCTTGGATCTTATGGAAGACTTATCTTGATCTAATTTTTGGTATCTTTTTCTATTTCTTTATATTGATTATTATGGTTATGACAGATACATTTCTGAACAAATTGAGTTCTATTCTGACCCTTTATCTGGCTACTAAATCTCTTCTTTCATTTTGGTTACAGGTAGTGTCTTTTTGCGTTCTTCCCTGACAATGTCCTTGGTTTCACATCAGAGTTCTTGTGGTTTCTAATGAAATATACGGTACTTAGCAGTGCAAATTTGAGAGCCAGTATGGTGTTGTGGTTTGAGTGCTGGACTTCTTAAGACACTGGGAGACAGGGTTAGAATCCCCACTTGGACTGGATAGCTCTTGGGGATCTCTTCCAAGTCTGTGATTCTTCAGATTGTATTTTGGAACTATGATTGATTTCATGCACTTCTTTAGCATTACTCTAATCTTTGATATAAGCAGTTTATGGTCTGTGCCACAATTCATTCCTAGCCTTGCTTTTGCAGAAAGAATGAAGCCTCTCCATCTTCTGCTTCCAGTTCTGTAGGGCTTTACTACACAAGCCCTCCTCTTGCAGGAATCGCATCAGTCACAAAATGGGAGCAAACTACATTCAGAGCAGCCCATATTGCATGACTTTGGAATCACATCACTTGGGCCGATGCTGCCATCACATTCTCTTCCTGAATTCCCCCTTAACTCCAACTCTCTGCCTTAGGCTCAGCATGTCTTATGGCTATTTTTTTCATTTTCATTTCATTTTTTTCAAACAATTCCAGAGCTGTGAAGTCAAAGGCTTTCATGGTCGGCATACATAGTTTTTTGTGGGTTTTTTGGGCTATGTGGCCATGTTCTGGAAGAATTTATCTCTGACGTTTCACCTACATCTGTGGCTGGCATCGTCAGAGGTTGGTAGCATGGAAGTGAGTGGGGAATATATACTGTGTGACCCTTGGTTGGGAGGAAGTGATTTACATGTTAATCTGTGTGTTGGTCTGTTGTTGAATGGCAAGGCCTCAGGGTGGGAGGATCTGCAGGAGGATATGTGTGTCTATTTACTTAGCAATCCATTGTCTGCAGGGAAACCCCCTGACCCTGGGTGATATTCATTTGCATGTATTGAGTCTTGATTTTGGTGGTTTTTTTTCCAGGACTGATAGCCAAACTTGGTTTACTTTCAGGGTTTCTTCTTTCCTGTTGAAGTTGTCCAAGTGTTTTTGGATTTCAGTGGCTTCCCTATGCGTTCTGACCTGATAGTTGTTGGCATGGTCCAGAATTTCAGTGTTTTCAAATTGCATGTTGTGCCCAGGTTGGTTTATGACATGTTCTGCTACTGCTGATTTTTCTGGTTGGCCCAGTCTGCAATGTCTCTCGTGTTCCTTCCAGAGCTATACTACTGTGAGTTTCTTTGAGTTAAGTTTCAAAAATAAATAAAAATAAACAGGGAATCTGGCTGCTTGAGAATACCAAGGGGAAGGAGGGATCAGTGCGGACGATGACTCCACCTGACTGTCAATGATGCAACTGCCCCGGCATCGATGTTTTGCACCTGGGGACTTGCAGTATTGGGAGGTCCTGTCAATGAAAAGGGATGTAGGAACTACAAGTTGGGGACAGAGCAGCTATGGGTCGTGCAGTAAGTCTGACCAAAGCTGCTTTTTTTCCTGGTGTAATTGTGGTTTTAAAACTGTGTGTATTCATCGGCATAGTTTATTTAATTTCTGTATTGGTCATCCATTTGCGAGATTGCAGAAATTGAAAATGGCCATTCTTCATTGGGAAAAAAGATCAAACTGCTTTCATAGGGGAACTGATGCATGCATAATACATCAAGAAGTTTCCAGCCAATGTGTAGAAACCACCTACAAATGTGGCAGAATAACCAAGACTGGATGTGCTATTGCTTGAACATGGGTTGTAAAAACCTATTCTGTTGTTCTACTTTGGCCATGGGTTGGAAAAACCTATTCTTTCCAAGCGTGGGATCTCATGCTGATACACTGCCCTGTAACCAATACAGAAGTTTCTATGTTTAGACTATTGTTTGCTCACCTGCCACATATTGGATTCAACTGTTTATAGAAACAGGGAAGTTGATGGTTGGGTTTACCTGCATTACCTAGGTGTTTGTGCCAAGCTTTCGGGGATTCC